TTTTTTTTTTTTTTTTTTTTTTTTTTTTGGTACTGGGGATCGAACTCGGGTCCTTGCGCTTGTGAGGCAGGCCATCAAATCGCTGAGCTAAATCCCCAGCCTATAGGACATTTCTTTAAATAGACTCTCTCTACCTCTTATTTGTTTCTATTTGATCTTTTCTTCTTGAAGTGTCAGTTATTCAAATATTGGAACTTCATGGTTGTTTTTTAGTTTTTAAAAATATTTTTTTCTTTCCTATTATTTACCTCTTTCTCTTTTGTCTTCTGGAAGGGTTCCTTAACTTCATCTTCCAACTACTAATATTTTTACTTCTTGTATTTTGATTATTGGGATTTGGGGTATTCAAATGTTTCCTTTATGGCATTCTCTTCCTGTTCCATAAGTGCAATGAGTTTTACTTTTTCCTCAAGGACATTAATAAAGTAATAAGATTTTCTTTTGTATTTTGCAGTATCTTTATTTTCTCCTATTTTTCAGTATTTATGTTGGACTTAGATGAAATGTGTGGTTGTCACTTGTGGTTATAGATAAAATATTAACAGGTAGTTGCATGGTAAAGACCATTATGTGAGTGTGCTGGATTCACTGAAGGGTAGGCCACACAGCAATTTATTGGATTTATAAAATCTGGGTTCCTCTGAATGTCAGCATCTATGTTTATCTTCTGAAATGGTGAATTTCCCTAGACAAGGTTCTTAAAGTGTCTTGCTTGGAAGAGGCAGAAGGTAACAGGGAGCTAATTGTCTGCCAGCAAGGTCTTTCTTTTAGCCAGAGCAGGGAACCTGACTGACAGGGAAAAGAATCTTGCTGTTCAGTATGTTGAAATTCAGTTAATCAGCCTCTTTCTGTATCTGATCCCCCGAAGTCTGCATACCCTTGAATTCAGAGGTTTCTCTAGCTCAGTCTTTCCAAACCATGATCCTACACAGTCCTGCCGGATGGCCCAAGCGTAGCGTCCAGCTGTGTTAGCAATGAAAATCTGATTGTTTTCATCCAGCACTTCTGTTTTCAGCCTCAGCTGTCACCATCCCTCTACACGGTATTCCGAGCTATTATCTCTCAGGATCTGAATCTCTCTGAGATGCTTTAATATAAATTACCTCACTCCTGCGCTTCTTACATTATTGATTTTCTTGAGTTCAGTTTTGTACTTTTTTTAGTCTGTTAATCAGCTTTGTCCTCCTGGGTTTCCATTTTCAATTTTTTTTTCTGCAGTTTTCTCTCAGTTTTGACTTGATTTAAGTTTTTTCAACTTGTTTGTCTGTTTCACTGTGAGGAGCATCTTGGGCTCTGGGTTGAGCCCAATCCTTTATATTACTTTATCATTTAGGCAAATTTAGTGCCTTTGCTTCCTCATATTCAAAAATTTGTAGCTGGATTATTTTTTAGGATTAGAAAATTTAAGGTGTAAAAACCATTTAAAACCATAGCTAGCTTAATATGTATTAGCCATTGTTATATTGCGTAGCTTCAGGCAAAAGATAATCTATGTCCAAGTAACCATATTTAACCGGAAGAACTACATCAAAGAACTACTTAGCAATATGAATTGCTGAGCAAATACTGTCAATTTCATGAACAAAATGAAGGAGAAATATGGAATATTTAATGTGCTACATAAACCGTCTAGGTGCTCATGTCACGTGCTTACTGGGAGGAAGCTTAGAGTTCACAGTCTCCACGTCTTTATTTTGCAGATGAGGAGAACAGAGACCCAGAGTGTGGAGTGGCTTTACCTTCAGGGTGTCGTCAAAGCCTCACAGTTCCTAGTTCAGTCTTCTTTCACTAACCCATATTTCATTTCTAAGAAACTGCAAATACCGTGAGACCTGTGAGCTTATCTTGGATGATGGCACTATCCTCTAACTGATTTATGTATTTCTTTGTTCATTTTAAGTACTCCGAACTGGGTCAGTCATAACCCTTGCAGAGCCAGAGCATTCCCATTGCCTGTGACACCCCAGCCATCATAATGCTGCAGTGCGAGATGTGGCTTATGTGTTTTTGGTGTCCCGATGTAAACAAACCTTCTGTGCTGTCAGGGGTATAAAAGTGCAGCAGCTATAATTATGTACAATACATGATACTAATGATAATGAATTGACTGTTAGTGCTCTGTTTGTTTGCAAATTACTGAATTATTTTTGCAGCACTGGGGATTGTACCCATGGGCACTCTATCCCTGAGCTGTGTTCCCAGCCCTTTTGATTTTTTAAAATTTTGAGACAGAGTCTCACCAAATTGCCCAAGCTGTTTTCCAACTTGGAATCCTCCTGCCTCAGTCTCTGAAGTAGCAGGATTACAAGTGAGTGTCACTGTGTCCAGCCTACACTATGCTATTAAGCACTGTTTCTTAGTGTACTTCTTCTATTTATACAAACACACCGACTGTAAAACAGTATGCTGTCTTATATAGGCAGCAGCTCAAAAATCTTGTGTTTTTGTGTCTCTTCCATCAAGAGGCCATGCTGAGAGATTGATCAACACCATTTAGCTTTTGGCAAATGCACTCTATGATGTTTGTATTATGATGAAATCTACTACGAAGACTTCTCAAAACGTGTGATGGCGAAGAAAGTGTGACTATATTTAGAAGTATTTTTGCAGTACAGTTATTTGTTGTTTTTCTTTCTTGGATAGAAAGTTATTTTATGGATAGGTGATTTCACAACTCTTTTTATCATGTAACAATTCCCAAGATTCTAATCTTTTAGCTTAGAAGCAAAGTTGGACAGAGAGGAACAGGACAAGGACTGGGAATATGAGCTTTACATTCAGCACTGAAATGAATAATACCTAAAATGTGTTAGTTTTCTGCAAATGTAATGCTGTGTTTGTAATACAGGTCTGAGAACCATTGGAGTCATCACCAAACTGGATCTTATGGATGAAGGAACAGACGCCAGGGATGTTCTAGAGAATAAGCTGCTGCCTCTCCGCAGGGGTAACACACTGTGCTCTCTACACAACTGTCTTTGACAATATGGCAGAGAAACACCTGGGGAGTCACTGGAAAGCCTGGTTTTAATACATCCTCTGTTGTGAGGAATACATTCATTAGCTATACTTTTAATGGAAGGGCACAATATTCCCAAATGGTGTGTTGAAAATGATCTAAAAGGAGAACTATTCTTAAAATAACAGGAATTAAAAAAAACATAGGGAAAGGAAGGGGTTTGAAGGGAGGTTATAAATATTCATCATAAGCTACAGAAATACATACCATTCTATTTTAAATGTGATAAGTACTTGCCTGCTATATGGCAGAGCTGGTCAGAGACATACTTTCATAAAATGCCTAAAGTTTTTCAAGGTGAGCGATATTATTTTGTTAATGCCCCCCCGCCAAAATCATCAGCCAAGTCAGCAGCCTTTTAAAAATACTGATGTCTCAGTTTACATTTTAATAAAATGATCCACTTTTCTTTCATATTTTAAAATTAAACTTGAGGCTTTTACTTTGTTTCTTCAAGAGCTTGCCGGTCTCCCTAGAAAAAGTGACAGAAGACATGCGAAACCCTTGTGTTTTGTTCCAGGCTATGTGGGGGTGGTGAACAGAAGCCAGAAGGACATAGACGGGAAGAAGGACATTAAGGCGGCCATGTTGGCAGAAAGGAAGTTTTTCCTTTCCCACCCTGCTTACAGACATATTGCTGACCGCATGGGCACCCCACACCTTCAGAAGGTCCTCAATCAGGTAAAAATATTTCAGGCCACAAGAACGGTTGTGAAACCTATTGACTACTGGAATTCATATTTTTTATTTTTAAATTTATACTTCCAAAATTTACACAAGTTTAAATACATCTGCAGCTGAAATGATAGGAATTAAAAAATAATAAACACAAATATTTAGATCCATACCATTATTACTCATCTTAGTGGATTGAGTTCACCTTAATATTTTTTTTGGACAGTGCTCAAAGCAGAAACATAGACTTCTCTGGGAGCAGTGAACAGAAACATCCATTTGAATATGCACTCACTCACAATATGTAGTTATCTTAAGAAGTTAAATGTGATTAGTTCTGAAAATTTGATCTCTTGGCATATGTTTTTGAAATATCAAGCTGTAATGGTTAGGTTAAACTTCATGTTACAAATTTTTTATGGTTTTGTTTAATATTGATTTGTTTCTTAATTTAAACTCTTCAAAACAACAAATCCTGATAAAGTAACCATGGATTTCCACTAATCTAAAATAAATTATTTGCCTAAAATAAATAGAATTGGAAGTGGCCTTCTGCTTATCCCTCTCCTGGCACCATACACAATTTTTTCATGAAATCTGACCATGGAGTTAGGTGTCATGACAGGTGTCATTGTCATTGAGTGCAGGGCTTTTCTTCATTGGTAAAATTTTAATTAAGTTTTCAATTTCATTGATTTTAATTGGGGTGTTTAGAATTTTTTATCTTCTTCATTGAACTTTGGTAATTCATAAGTATCTAGAAATCTGTCCATTTCTTTTGTATTTTCAATTTTATCAAAGCACAGGTTTTTGAAGTAGGTATTGATGATCCTCTGGATTTCTGCTGCATCTGTTGTGACTTCACCTTTTTTTCCTAAATGAATGGATCTGAGCCTTTTCTTTCCTTTTTTTGACAAGGTTGGCTAAGGGTTTATCAATTTTATTTATTCTTTTAAAAAAACTCTTCAATTCATTGATTTTTTTGTGTCATTCTCTTAGTCTCCATTGCATTGACTTCAGCTCTGATCTTTATCATTTCCTGTCTTGTACGAGCTTTGGGTTTTTCTTGCTCTTGTTTTTCTAGGAGTCTAAGATTAATCATTAGGTTGTTTATTTGAGCTCACTCTGTGTTCCTAGTGTGGGCATTCAATGCTATGAATTTTCCATGTAGAACTGCTTTCATTGTGTATCATAGATTCCTGTATGTCCTATTGGCATTATCGTTTATTTTTAAGAACTAATTTCTTCTTTAATGTGCTCTGTGACCCATTGATTGTTCAGAAGTGTTGTTCAATTTCCATGTGTTTGTAAGTTTCTTATAGTTTCTTATACTATTGATCTCCAGCTTATTTGCACTATCATCTTATAATATACATGGGATAACTTCAATTCCTTTGCATTTATTTAAACATGTTCTATGAGCTAGTATGTGGTTTATTTTGGAGAATGACCCGTGTGCAGCTGAAAACAACGTATATTCTGATTTTGTGGGGTGGAACACTCTGTTAGATGTCTATTAAGTCCATTTGTTCAAAATCTTGGTTCAGTTCTAGTATTTTGTTGTTGATTTTTTTGCCTAGATGATCTATTTGTGAAAGTGGGGTATTTAGATCTCCCACTCTAATTGTATTAGTGCTTATTTGGTTTTTCATGTTTCTTAATATTTGTTTTATATAGTTGCGGGCATTAATATTTGGTGCATATATGTTTATGGTTGTCATCTCTTCCTCTTGAATTGTTCCCTTTACAAGGACTTCTTTGACTCTTTTAATCAGTTTTGGTTTGAAATTTACTTTGTCTGCGAATAAGATTGCTACCCCTGCTTTTTTCTGGGCTCCTGTTACATGGAGAACTGTTTTCCATCCTTTCACTTTCAGTTATGAGTTTCTTTTTGAACTAGTTGTGTTTCTTGTGTACAACATATTGTTGGATTTTGCTTCTTAATCCGTACTTCCAGTTTATTTCTTTTAATTGGTGAATTGAGGCCATTAACATTGATGGCTATAACTGTTATGTATTGACTTATCATTATCATGTTATTGTCCTATTGCTGGTTCTTTTTTATTTCACCCCCCCCTTTAGTTTCTTGCCTTGCCTGATTGATTTGCTCTGTTGGGCCTCATGGTGTTGTGACCTTCATTGTCTTTTTCTGGGATATTGTTTAGAATTGTTTGTAGTGATGGTTTGGTATTCATGAAGTTTCTCAGGTGTTCTTTGTCATGGAAGTATCTTATTTCCCCATCCATCTTAGTTTATTTTTACTTTGTTTTGTTTTTATTTGTTTTGGTACCGGGGATTGAACTTGGGTCCTTGCGCTTGCGAGGCAGGCCACCGAACCGCTGAGCTAAATCCCCAGCACCCCCATCCATTTTAAAAGAGAGTTTTGCAGGATACATCAGTCTAGGTTGGAGGTTGTTTTCTTTTAGGGCTTGAAATACGTCACTCCGGGTTCTGCTTGACCTGAGAGTTTGTGTTGAAAAGTCTGCTGTGATTTTGATAGGCTTTCCTTTGCATGTGATTTGTTTCTTTTTTCTAACTGCTTGCACTATTTTGTTCTTCTGTTAGGTTTCTGGGATCTTGATTATTATATGTCTAGATGTAGATTTTTTTTGATCATGGCTAAAAGGAGTCCTATATGCCTCACTTATGTGTATATCAATTCTTCCCCTCTGTTTGGGAAGTTTTCTGTCATGAATTGTGTAAACAGTTTTTTTAAAAATGTCATTTGTACTTTCTCCTGCTACTTCATGGATTTCTATCAGTCTTATATTCTTCTTCTCATCATCTAGGAGCTGTTGGATTGATTTCTCATGATCCCTTACTGTTTTTAAGAGATCTCTCTTTTCACAGTCACTGACTGCAATCCTGTCTTCTATATCTGAAATTCTTTCTTCACATTTGTTCATTCTGCTGTGAATACTTTCTATAGGTTTTTAATCTCCTGGATATCTGTTTGTATCTGTTTCTTGGATTACATTTCTTTCCTTTGTTGGACATTCATGGTTTCCATTTCTTTCCTATGCTTGGCATTTATGGTTTCTATCATGGTGCTGAACTCATTTACTTTTTTATCTGCTTCTGTTCTAGAGTCTCTAATCATGTCTTTCATTGTGCTCACCATCTCTGTAGTTATCTGGGAAATTATTTCTGTTTTGAATTTTTCTAGAGCCTGACTAATCTGTTTTGTTACTTCCTGAACTATGAGTTCAGGGTGTCCAGATGGTTGATTGTCAGACTTTTCCACCTCGTTTCTCCTAGAATTTGCCATTGGTGAACTGGAAGTCTGTATTTGTGCCTTGCTTAAGTATTTTCTCATTTTTATTTTTGTTGTTGGTGCTGTCCTTCATTTAATTCCTGGGGTTAGTACTTTGATCTTCCTGATATAGTTATGACACAATTGGATTGTGCTTGGCTGAAAATTGAATGAATTTTGATCTGCCCCTTCCTGGGCAATCACCATTGCTTCAGAGGTCTCCATACTATGTTTGAAACTAAGAAAAACTGTTTTTGCTGATTCAGTATGTACCAATACCTTTAACCCTGAAGGACAGTTCCTGTGGAAAAAAAATTGAAGAAGACATACATTTTTGAGGAAAAGAAAGAAATGTGCCTAGAAGGCAGATGAAGAGGGGATAAGAGATGCAGATGGAGATGTAGACAGTGGCTTGGTCCTATAATGTTTGTAGGTCAAGTTAAGGATTAGTAGCAGGGAATCATTTACGATATTAGAGAAGAAGGATGACATGATCATATTGGTGGGTTGAGAAAGAATATGGTATAACACATAAGAGGATTAATTGTAGGCTGATTAGGAGTAAAACTGAGGAAATCATTTAAGAGTAAATATAAAAATTATGATGGCCTGGTCTTGGCTACTGCTAGTGGAGATTAAAATAATCCAGAATGTTTGAGAAATATTCATGAGAACTAAGAAGTTGGTGGTAGATTAGAGCTGGTGGGTGATGGAGTGGGGAATCAAGGGTAACCCAAGTTTCCAAATTGTTATGAAGTAGATGGAGAACCCCAAGAGGAAGAGCAATGTCACCGTGGCTGTATTGCTTTGAGCCTGTGGCAGCATAGCACATCATAGTGGGAGCTAGTGGTTCAGAAATCTGCACACCTGATGGTGGCCCAGAAGTAAAGAGAGAGAAAAGGGGTTAGGATCCCAATATTCCTGATAAAATTAGGCACTAGGTGATCTTATTTTCTTCAGTTAGGCCCTGCCTGTCAGTGTTCTACCACTTTCCCAAAGCACCACAAGCTGACAACCAAGCCTTCAAAATATGGGCCATTGAATGGGCTGCTCTGGATCTAAATTATAGCAGTTATTTACTTGACTTGAGATGTGTTGAGGCAGAGATGTCATGGCCACATCTAAAAGGAGGAGTCAAGAAAGTGGTCAGATATGTAAGCACACAGGAAAGATAAGAAGTCCTTTTTGGAGATAGTGTTTTAGTGATGGTAGTGTTTGAATGTTTACTGAAGCCCTGGATGAGATGAGAATATTTTCATGAGAGAACAGGGAGTAAACTAAGAGGCCTAAGATCCATGTTTGAGAAATCTCAATATTACCAGTCTGGTGAGGATAATGAACTATCAAAGGAGATGGAGAAGGTTATGTCCAGAATAGCTAGGAGAAAAATTAGAGGAGCTGGAGTTATGGAAATCAAGGAAAGAAGTGTTTTAGAAAGCCAAGAAGAGGCCACAATGTTGCTTCACTGTTGATATATATGAGAAGCAAAAAATGAAAACCAGGTGATTTATACTAGCTCACATGGCAATCTGGAGGTTGCTGGGTTTTCAGGTTTGCTGTTATTCTTAGAGTTGGGTCCTTACCTCTTGTGACACTGCTACTAAGATTGTAATCCGCTCCGTTCCATTGCTTCCTCCTCAGTAGCCACAAGAACAACAAATGCCTAGGCACTAACACAACATTTCACACCGATAGGCAGTGGGATATAGTCAAGAACTGTTGACAGTTAAATGACTATAAATTTATTGAATAGATTTATTGAGGTAACTGCAGATACACATAAAGATAATTTAAAATAATTTCTTCAGTCAGTCTGGGTATATTTATTCTTACTTTCAAATTATTTTTCTTTTCCTTTTATTTGTATGAAGTTTATGTTACCTCTTTCTCTTCATTTTCATTTTGGTACTCAAGCCATTTAAGAAAACCATCCTTTTTTCTTTTAATTCTTCAGCTGTACTGTAGAGAGAGCATGGCAGAGAGCTGAGCAATTTGGGGTTACATTTCTCTTTGTTCTTAATGAATCAGGTACTGAAGTCTCTTAGAGAAGTTTTCACGGTACTGAGCTCAGGATGCTGCTAATCTCAGAAGAAATGCCAAGCACATTGCCAGGTGGAGATGTCAGTAGCAGAGAAAACTTCTCTTCCTTGGTTATGGAAGTTTTGGGTTCACTCCTTGAGGCCAGAAGCCAGTGATCAGCCCAAGTTAGACTGAGGCCTAGAGGCGGAACAGAGGGAGCACCTGGCTGAGTTGCAGGGGACAGAGAGAGTTGGCAAAGGGTGGGTGCCTGTGGCATCCTTGACCACCTGAGTTCCAGAACTGTGCTCATCCATCTGCCCTCAAAAACATCAGACAGCACCTGTAACTTTTGGCTTCCTTCATTCCCACCACATTCTAATTTAAGGCTCCTTTTTACAAAGTAGGCAAACTGATAAACCAACCCATGCTATGGTGTTATGGGGCAGCTTCATGGTGACAATAGCTACATTTGAACAGTGTCTTCTGGGACATAAAGAGATAACTCAAGGGAGTTGTTCAATTGAAGGAATTTTGAGCAGCTCCAAAGGGCAGTGACTACATACCTAACTTTCTTAACATATAATCAAGCACATACACATAACTGCATACATACACACACACACACACACACACACACACACACACACACGCAATGTTGACATTGTATGTGATTAGGAAAACAGTGAAGGCTGAGTTTTGTCTTGTGGGTTAATCTTCAATCTGTGGTATCATTTTGTTTTATTTTATTTAGCAACTCACCAACCACATTCGAGATACCCTGCCAAACTTCAGGAACAAGCTACAGGGGCAGTTGCTGTCCATAGAACATGAAGTAGAAGCCTATAAAAACTTTAAACCAGAAGACCCCACCAGGAAGACTAAAGCCCTGCTGCAGTAAGTTACCTTTCCTTTTCTCTCTTCTCTTTCTGTGGACTTCTTTCATTGGTTTACTTTTGCCTTAGCCTGTTTGTCAGGTTGTTTTTTAGGCTTGAAAGAAACAGCAAGGATATGAAGATTTCCCCGCTATACAGTAATCCTTGAATTTTTATGTTACCCATGGAAAGTTTTTTTACTCTTATTTTGTTATAAATTTAACCTATTAAATTAAAAATTACCTAGTCCCATGCCTGATTTAACTGTGTCAAATTAGATTTAGTCAGTGAGTAAAACTCAGTGATCAGCAAGGTCATTTTTGTCTTTAGTTTTAGAAGTGAGTAAATACAGATGAAAACCTCATCTGAATTTTATCAGTGTTTTGGTAGATGTTCCTTGTCCTTATGTAATTTTTTTTCATTAAATTTATTGTTATATTTAGGGTATACAATATGATGACATTCATCATCGGGAATGTGTACCTTTACATGATATATCTTGGTTCTTATTTTTTTGTCCATTCCCCTGCTCTCCTTTCAACCCTTTGCACCTCCCTATTTACAAAGACTTTGTTTCTGTTTTTCCCTTTTCTCATATTTTTTCTTTTCCCTTCTTTTCTTTCCCCTGCCCCTCTTACTTCCCCTTCCTCTTTGGACCCTTTTCTTTCTATTTCAAATTATCTATTATTATACACTTTGATCCTTATTTATACTTGCAGTTACTCACAGCAAAGCAACCATTATCCTTTTATTTCAATTATTTCTTGTGATTTATCTATGTGTACTTTTCCAGTGGCAGAACAGACAATAAGGCCACATTCATGTTTCTTTGTGCTTTTTGGTAATGATCTCAATGTATTTAGAAGTGCAGATATAAAAACCTCCATGCCATCTTTTACTCCTGCACCTCCTGTCTTACCCTTGGGTTAGCAGATTTCTCCCTAGGGTGTGTTAGGGTAGGGTTGGTAGAGAGTTACCAGCACCTTGTGTTGTATCCCTTTGTTCTCTCCCTTGATCACTTCTGGCTTCATCTGTCCCTTTGTCCCTGTGCTGCAACTTCCATTAGGTCCCTCTGAGCTGAAGGACTCTTGCCTGAGGTGTCTCCCCAAAGACATTATTTAATACCTCTTATGGTGCTATAATCCTTCTAAATAACATATTAAATGAATCATATTATGTTTCTTCATTTTAAAATGATAAGATCATATTAAGGTAAAAATTTCTCTTAGATGTAACTCTTCCCTAATTCCCTTGGTTTTTGTTAAACTCTTGTAAAAACTCTTCAAGTTACAGAGAAGGGAAAGCTATTTCTCTTCAGGTCCCAGGTCATTATTTTAACATTGACTGCAATTGGAATGCAAAGACAGAGTCTTGCCTTTGGGACTTCATGGGACTCAGATTACAGAATTCTTCACAGCTGGATTGTTGACTTGTGAAGGCCAATTCAGCTCCTTTCTATGGCCCTATTTATTCTGACCTAGTCCTTCCCTCCCACCCTCCCTTCTGCCTTCTTTTCTTCCTCCTTCCTCCATTCTACCCATAGTCTGGTCCTAGGATATCTTCCAAAGAGTCAACAATACATAGCATTTTTACCTTCAAGAAGTCAGAGTAGAGTTGGGGAATGCAGACATGGGAGCAATTAGTTATTTCTGCAGGTGGTGAGTACTGTTTGTGGTGCATATAAAGTGTAAGGAGCCCAGACAGGGAAGCAGTCATGTGTGGAGAATGGTGTGAGTGGACCAAGAACATGGCACTGAAACCTGAAGGATGAGGAGTTGTCAGGTGGAAGGAGGAAGCTAAGAAAACAGTGAAACCTTGGTGCAGCTGGTTCTTGGGTCATTGGGTGGGCCAGGTGACGTGCAGCATATAGCGGAGAGAGTAGCTGGAGAGAAGTTCTCTAGACTTTCCATTGTTTCAACGCATATTGATTCATATACCAGTCTGGTGTTTTAAAATCTACATTAACAGGAGGAGGTGCTGAAGGCTGAACCAAGGCAGAATCAGGAGTGAAGCGGCAGTGATTCTTGTCTGAGGGATGGAAAGGAGGTAGAGTGAGGTGTGGGTTCAGGGAACACAGGTGTGAGGGTGCCCCTGAGTCCCTGCTTGGGTGGATGATGCCATCTGTCAGAGGAGAAAGTCAGGAATGCAGACGAATGAGCTGGTTTGGCAGTGAGAGAAGTCAAGTAATTCAAGTGTCAGCTGAGTTCGAGGTAGCTAAGAGAAAACAAAACTCCATTAGACAGCTGGGTAGTTGGCCAGTCATTCCCAAAATTAGGAGCTAGAAATCAAGGTCTGGAGAAGCTAGTTTCCTGATAACCCTTGAAGCTGTGGCCACCCTTGAGATCACGTAAGACAAACAGAGGACAAAGAAGAGAGTCAGAGACTGAGGTACTGAGACAGGAAGAGTAGCTTCTGGAGCAGGAGAGGTTCAACTGGAGCAGCTGGGACACTGGGAAAGTGATGTCACAGGAGCAGAAGTGCATGTGACTAATCTACTAATATAACTTCAATTTTTAATTCAACTATTCTTCAAATATTATTTCATAGCTGCAGCCAAATGGTCATGTTGCTTTGCTGTTGTTTTTGAGACAGCGTCTCTCTCTATGTAGTTTAGGCTGGCCTCGAACTCACTGTGTAGCCCAGGCTGGCCTCTATCTAACTCATGGCAATCCTCCTGCCTCAGGCTCCTGAGTGCTGCTGGGACTACAGGCTTGTGCCACCATACCCGGCCCAACATTTATTTCAAGACAAAAATATTGAAAACATTTATACTAGTTCAGTGGCTAAAATCTTAACTGTGGGTATTTCACATAATGAAATGTAGAGAGCTGAACAAGGTACAGTGTTAGCTCTACCAGTAGGTGCCACTAAGAACACTCTAAACGGCTTTCAGGGAATCACCATAGAAAAACAAAATGAGGAATGCAAAGCCATGTAACTTTAACTTGAATTTATTTCTCTCTCACCCCATAGGATGGTTCAGCAATTTGCTGTGGACTTTGAGAAGAGAATCGAAGGGTCAGGGGATCAAGTAGATACTCTGGAGCTCTCAGGTGGTGCTAAAATCAATCGCATTTTCCACGAACGCTTTCCTTTTGAAATAGTGAAGGTCTGTACTGAATATCATCTTTTCCTCTTTCATTCTACTTCGTTTCCATATTCTGTCCTACAAAGCTTTTGATATAATATCATGTGAGTGGTGTGGGATTAGACAGTTCTTCGAACAAAAACCTTTAATCTTGGGAAATGAAATACAGGAGAGATATTTTCCTTTCTGATTTTATTTAATGAGATTTAACATTTCACTTCATTTAAAGTCATATTGAATTTTCTGTAATGTTTACGTGTTGTCTAATTTATTTATAAAGCTTTTGGTGCCAGTGATCAAAATAGAGGTCTTACTTTGTCTAGTGGGGAAAGATGGAAAGTTAGGAAACAGACAACATGAGGAAAGTATTACTATTATGACATGAGGTGAGAGCTACTTTCAATGGGGTGTTCAGGCAAGTGCTGTCTAAGTGAGGGACACTGAAATCATGACGGAACAGCACGAAGAGGTGAGCGATGGAAAGATGTGGGGGAAGAGAGTCTGCCACAGAAGGAGGAGCACCTTTGGGTGAAGCCTTAACGTGGCAGTGAGGACGGGAGGTGAAGCGTGGATGTGGCTGTTGCAGTGGTGAAGAGGAGGAGCCTGGATTCAGAGAGAGGAAAGAGGTGCCCAATTCACGAAGGGATTTCTAGGTTAGAATGAGGCGTCTCCGTTTAACAACTGGCACCCGCAGAAAGAGTTAAGCAGGGATGTGACCTAATTCAATCTTAAACACTATGCCTGCGAAGTTGTAATGGGGCAAGAGACAGGAAAGGCAAGGGAAATAGTGAGGCCGCTCCAGAAGCGGAATCACTTTATGCGAGGTACAAAGCTTCTACAAACTTGGAAACTCCCTTAAAGATAAAGAGTATAAAATTATAAACATGGTTAGGCATAGGATCTTGGAAGAAGTCTTTTACATAGAAGAAACAGTGAAACTTCAATTTCATTAGCATCCCAGTAAATAAAAATGACTCAGTGAGAGAGGATGGTGACGCATGAATGAGGGGATTTTTAGAGGTAAGGTTGATAGCACTTGGGTGGATATGAGGACTGGAAGTTAGAAGGTTCTAGATGATTCCTTAGGTTTTGATTTTCACAACTGTGTGGTGGTACCCATCCGAAGAAGGACACTGAGGAAAAGCTGGGTTGGTGTGGAGTTGTGAATCAAGAGTTCTGTTTTGGGGGCTGGGGATTTAGCTCAGTGGTGCCACGCCTGCCTTGCAAGTGCAAGGTCCTCAGTTTGATCCTGGTACCACCCCGCAAAAAGAAACAGAGTTCTGTTTTGGACTTGCTAAGTATGAAGTGCTCAGTAAGGCTGTTAAGCAGTTTTAGGAACTATGCTATTTACCTCACAAAGAGGTGAATGCGTATGGAGTGGGAAGCAGAGCGGGTAAAAAGATGGCTTTCTTAAAATGTGCTAAGTAAAGTGATAAACTGCAGTACAGAGTGCTACGGAAACACAGCCCACGAAGGGGAATCTCAGGCCGAATGCTTACGGGAGCCAGGCTCCGAGCGGAGTTTAGAAAGATGGTGGCTGGGGAAGCCAGGGGGTGGGGAAGGAACGGGTGGTTCTGATAGAAAGGGAGAAAGGGTTAAGGCTATGAGCCATGAAACCAAAAGGCGTGGGTAGAGAGAGACCTCAGACCATGCTCTGTTCTAGGGAAGCAGGCTTTAGAAAGGAAGCGGAGAGGCAGAAGGCAGCAGAGCCCAGGGTTCTCTGGTTACCCCTCCCAGGACTGTGCTCTGTGATACTCGGATCCCACTTCCAAGTAGATTTATGGTTCCTAGGATGTCTAGGAAATATTCGTGCAGTAACCTATCCTGTGTTGGCTTGATAGAATATTATTATTATTATTATTTTATAAAGAGGCCCTGAATTCAGGTGGTTGCAGTGGCCAAGGAAAAAAAGCCACAATTACTCTCAGGACAGCTGTACTGCTGTTGTACACCAGGTGACATGGACATGTATGCCTTCACCTGTATCCTCAAATTTACTATATTCAGCAAAAAAATGAGGAATTCTATATCTCAGATGAATGTCTATAGTTAGGTCCAGAAGGAATTCTTTTTGCACAGCACTTCTTACACAGAGTTAAAATCTATTGCCCTAAAACTCCCCAAAATCCCTAGTGTTCCACGTTGCCTTGAACTTTATGTAAACAGATGTTCTGACCATCTGGCTTTAGCTTGGGAGAGACATGAGTATCCATTTATTAATAACTGAGTCAAGTTACTCTCATTCTGTGATATTCAACAGTATTACTATTCAAAGGAATTAAGTGTCATAACCGTGGCTCATTTTGCATCTGCAGATGGAGTTCAATGAGAAAGAATTGCGAAGAGAAATAAGCTATGCAATCAAAAACATACATGGTATCAGGCAAGTGATTCACATTTTCTTGTCTTCAATCCAAGCTACCAAAGGAAAATGAATGTTTGTAAATGGCTAATAAAGTCGCCTTTTCATCTTCTGAACAGAGTAGAGGAAGAGGCGGAAGTCAGATACAGGAAATTTTAGTTTGGATTTAATGGTAATTTCCTATATTGTCAGGTTTTTTTTCAGTGAAAAAAACAAAACCAAAACCAAAAACAAATCCTGAAATGCTTTCTGCACTTGTAGCCTATACTCTGCACAATAAGAGATTCAAAGACAAGCAGGACCATGTTCTCCAAAGCTTTATATGTATGTTAATGTGAGAGGACTGACATGCTCATGAATAATCAATCATTACTTACACAGGGAAGGGACAGATTAATTTCAACTGGAGTTGTGGAGCAAGACTGGGAAAGAATGATGAGGGTTACTTGTGCATTGCACCTTGACTGTTTAGAGGATGATTTCAAGAATCCCACAATTGTTGTGTTTAGGTGTGTGTGTGTGTGTGTGTGTGTGTGTGCGAAGTGGGTGAAGATGCAAGTTGTAAGGAGGGGGATAAATGGCGGCTGTTGAGGCTGGAGGATGCAAGAACAGTGAGTTGAGGCAGAGAGGTGGGAAAGTGCAGCAGGTATTTGTGGGTCCTGCATTTTGTTTGGTATGAGGAATGTGAGTGGAAGAGGAGGGACCTGAGCTGGGAGGTGACTAGGGGCAAACTTGTGCCTGAATTTCTGTGGCTTTATGTGAGATCATTCTAAGTTCTTTTCTAGCTTAGTCAAATTATAGTAGTGTGGGTGACTGATGAACAGCAACAGTTCTGGAAGCTGGAAAGACAAAGTCAGGGTGTCAGGATGGTTGGGTTCTGGTGAGAACCCGTCTAGTTTGCATACTGCTGGCTTCTCATTGTATCCTCACATGGCAGAGAACTAGTTAGTTCTCTACCTCTTCTTAGAAAGGTACAGATCCCTATTCATGAGGACTCCACCCTTATGACCTAATTTTCTACCAGAGGTCCCAGCTTTTGGGTATGATTTCAGCATGTGAATTTTTAGGATAATACATAATTCATTCCAGAGTACTTTCTTTAAAGAACTATCATAGCAATTATTTTAAAGCACATTTCTTGAGTCCTTATACAGACAGCTAAATGTAATTCAGGGAGCATATGCTAATTAGAAGTGTTCTGAATTCCAGGTAGGACAACTTAGTTGGTAAACTTTCTCTTATGAAAGATGTGTACCCTGTCTGTGATCAGTTATTGGGAACAGACTCTGAGAGGGCAACGCTTGACACTGAGTGTGCCTGTGGCAGGTGACTTGCTAAAGCAGTTACGATAGAGTTGTTATCAGTCATTTAAAAATTTAAACAGTTTGCTCCCAAATTTCAAATAATATTTATAAATATGAGTTCACAAATTGAAGGGGGGAAAGCATCTATAATCAAATCCAATAATTTTATCTTACCATCAACAGGATTTCTAACTTTCATACTCTATCTCCATCCAATCCAAAGTACATTTGGTACAGATGCTGTCTTGGTCTTTTTCTGGGCAGACCTATATTTGTATAAGTTTATCTGACAAATGCAGGGAACAAAGTCACACCTTTTTGGGGGAGAATCACAAAATATTTTGTCTCTACCAAACATAATTCTTTTACTTTGCTTGTAAAACTCCTTACCAGATAAATTTTTTCATTGAAGATAACTGCCCAGTAATTCAGAGTTGTGGATTTCTGATTTGTATGCATACCAACAGAAGAGTTTGGTTGTTGTTATAATTCTGCATTTAATTTACCTGTGAGATGATACGGAATGTACAATGCCCTGAACATGGGACATACTAATGGCATACTCATTTAGCCATTAAGGTCAGACAGGGGAGACAATTTGAATTTTGTTCTGTACCCATAGTGGAGAAATTACAGTTATACTATGATTGCTTTAGTAAAAAACCAGAGAAGTACAGGCTGCTCAGTGACGAAGGGATCCTGAGTGGAAAGGAAGTGTTAAAGAAATTTCCCGAAAGAGGTCCCATGAATTGAATAATTGAAGGAACAGAAGTAAGGAGGAGTGAAAAAGGGTGGAGAGAGGGTTTGGGATCAGAAAGGATTGTGCTTGCTTCGGCAGCACATTATACTACAATAGGATCAGAAAGGATCAAGTGGCCAATCCTTGAACCTAAAAGTCCTTGGACATGGCCGGCACCAGAAAAAATGAGTAGATGTCGTGCATGAAGTAGGGATTCTCTTCTGCAGATTTTCCCTTTTGAGCTTTTGTTTACATTTGAGTAAGAATTTTTTACTTTTTATGAAACATATGTTCTACACTTCCTATATCTGCTTATCAGAGTTCTTGCTCAGCATGAAAAAAGTCATTGTTATGACACCAAGTTGAATCAATTCCAGCTAAAGGGAAGATACTTGTTTTGATTCTCATTTATTATTTTTATAAATTCATAATTTAATTTGTAGTCATCTTGTAGCATTAACATTATTTCATGTAAGTGTTGGTAAATACTGGTGATACTACATTGTTTTGACAATAATGACAAGAAAAAGTCTGTACATGTTCAGTACAGATGCATTTTTTCCCTGAATATTTTCTTTCTCTTTCTTTCTTTCTTTCTTTCTTTCTTTCTTTCTTTCTTTCTTTCTTTCTTTTTTTTTTTTTGCACTGGGGATCAAACTCAGGTCCTTGTGCTTGCAAGGCAGGCAGCTGATCCACTGAGCTAAATCCCTGGCCCTGCTCCCTGAATATTTTCAATCAGTGGTTCGTTGAATCTACAGACAGGGAAACTGCTTATGTGAAGAGCTGGATGCATTCTTTTTTATTGCTTTGAAACTACGAATTGAGACAAAGTGAAGTATTGGTTAAAACTCACATTATAAGTTATGACAATGCATTGGGCATTGTTTTTATGACTGGTTTTAATTTTTGTGGTGTTGAGGATGGAACCCAGGGCTTCCCGCATGCTATGTTAGTGTTCTGTTACTGAGCTACATTCCTAGCTCTTGCAAATCATTTTTAAGTTATGTTCATCTCCCCATAGATTGGAATTTAATATGTTTTAGCATGATCAGACATATTATTGTTCCAGGCTGTTGGTGGTACATGTTTGTAATTCCAGCTGCTCAAGTAGCCAAGGCAGGAGGATCATGAGTTTGATGCCAGCATTTGCAACTTAGTAAGACAGTGTCCTAAAATTGAAAAGAAAATTAAAGGACTAGGACACAGCTTAGTGTGAAGGACTTGCTTTCAACCCCCAATACCACAAAACACACAAGTAAAATATGTTATAATTGTACTGTGGATAGGACAAATTGCTACATAGCTTTTATGTAGAAATTGTTATGTTATATGCTTAATTTAAGTGACATGCCAATTGAAGCATTTTCAAAAAATTATTGGGTGCTATTTTATTGTCTAAATTTAATAAGCTGCTTTTTCTCTCATGTTCAGGACAGGATTGTTTACGCCAGACATGGCATTTGAAGCAATAGTCAAGAAACAAATTGTAAAGCTGAAAGGGCCTTCATTAAAGAGTGTAGACTTGGTAATGCAAGAATTAATCAACACTGTCAAGAAGTGTACCAAAAAAGTAAGTAAATTATTTTATTTCTTAGTAAGTGACTACTTGGCTTTCCTACTTTTCTATTCCCTTTCATGAGTCTTATTCTCTAGCCTCCCACTGTGTTCTAGGTGTTGTATGTTTTTCCAGAGGGAAGGGTTATGATGTGTATTGAGTGGGAATTGATTTTGGGATGAGAAGATTTGATGCTGTCCATCATCCCATTCCAAATAAGGTTGGTTAGACCAGAAAGAGCACATTTTAGTGTGCTAGTTTTTTTTGTTGTCTTAAACAGATAAACAATGTTAGAACAATTAGATGAATGACTTAAGCTAATTTTTCCCCTATATTGTGTGGATGAGGGTAATTGGTAGGTAAATGGGATCCTCACTATTGGGAATATCAATAAGAAAATTCTTCTAATTTATAAATGATTTCACTCCAGCCTGAGCATTCTGAGAAGAGACTGTGTGGTACAGAGGATGCAAGCACAACTTCTGAAGCCCACTTACCCAGATGCAATACCTAATACCTTATGTGTGACCCCAGCCATCATACTGAGTCCTGCTGGTCTTGCTAGTTCATCTGTGAAATGAGTTCATGATGATAATACCACCTTAGTGATCACTAGCCAAGATGATGCCCAAAACATACAGGGACTGGACAGATTGGTTAAACATAGTTAAGTGCTCAGTAGATGCTGGCTAGCCATAAATCAGCATTTTAGCAACAATCACTATCCTCTGCTATGACTCTCTGTTTAATCTGTGTTGTAGCATAGTGGGGAAGAGACTTCCCAACTTGCGGGACTTTTTACGAAGCAATGCAGTAAACTTGTGCTGAATTCCTAGGAAAATAAAAGGAATGCTTTGAACTGGAAAGTGGAGGAAGAGAATTAGTGGTGTGTTTAGGATAGAGTAAGCCCAACTCCACTGACATTGGTTGACATTGGTACTGTTTGTTGAAAGTACGTATACTTCTGTGTTTTAGTTTTAGTTACCAATCCCTTTATATATGATTAGTGGGAGTAACTCCCTGTAAATCCAGTTGGAAGAAAAATACTGAAAGAGAATGAATATTAATTCTGGCCCCTACTTAACTGGAAGAAAAGCTCAGGTGAAGGGAAAGAGTATACAGTGAAAGTAGCAAGCAGGCTCAATTCCTAAATGCGAATCCTAAAAGAACAGGAGTGGGAATAGCGTGGGACCTAGAAATAACACTAGAGCTTCAGACCCATTCTCTAGAGCTCTTCCTACTCTTCCACCTTGTTCTCTAACCAAACAAGAAAAGCTAGGAAATAAGGGACTGAGGGAAAGGGAAAAGAAAGCGTGCAGGGAAGAAAAAAGTACCAGGCAGGATGTGGGTTATAAAAATCTAGACAGGTTTTCTATTCATATTATTTCACGGCTTGTTCAGGTTCTCCTTCCATTTTAAACGAAGCAGTGCTGAAAATAGTAGATGAAGGATGTGGTTTTTGTAAGACAGAAGATGCATAACTCTAATCAGCAGATCCATATGCAGAGAAGAGGCTCTGGCCTTACATCAAAAGATCGACACATGTGTGTACATTTATGTTTTAAGTTATATAAAGTGTTTATGGTATGTATAAATCATTTTTTTAATCATTTCCCATTTCATCCTGCGTACTGGAAAGCCTGGAGTCAGGATGGGATAAGGCAGCCTGCTCACAGACACTTGTGGCTCCTATCCTTGCTCCCCCCGGCAAACCTCTCTTTTTATTATACTCTCTGGAAGTCTGTATATTTTTACTGTCTTTTCAAGACCTTCTCTACTCTGCCTTAAATAAAGTAAACTTAGCTTTCTTTCTGAGTTATTGTTTACCCTGTAGCTTTCTTCATTGCAAGATATTATTGGGCCAAATCTAAAAAATTTAAGGACAAGAAGCAGATATTACATTTGTCTCCTTTTGTGGATTCCAACTATGATTCCAACGCCTGCCTGAAAAAAATCTTCCAATAAGGCCCAGATGGTATCAGCAACTCTGCCCCGTTCCCTTATATTCACTGTCACCATCCATTTCTGGTCACTGCCATTCATTCATTAGGATCTTTACAACCTGGTACAGATCTTTCCTCTCTGTTTGAATCTGTTTCATGGATTCCATGTCTTCGCTGTGTTGGGCATTCAAGGTTTCCATTTCTTTCCTATGCTGGTCATTCATGGTTTCCATCGTGGTCCTGAGCTCATCTACTTTTTTATTTGTTTCTGTACTAGAGTATCTAATCATGTCTTTCATTCTTCTCACCATCTCTGTGGTTATCTGGGAAATTATTTCTGTTTTGAATTTTTCTAGAGCCCAATTGATCTGTTTTGTTACTTCCTGTGCTATCGGTTCAGGGTGTCCAGATGGTTGACTGTCAGACTTTTCCACCTCATTCCCCCAGAGTTTACCTTTGGTGAGATGGATGTCTATGTTTGTGTCTTGTTTAAATGTCTTCTCATTTGTTTTTGTTGTTGGTACTGTCCGAGGTTTAATTCCTGGGTTAATACTTCAATCTTCCAGATATAGCTGGGCTTTCAGTTTTGAGTCTCTAATGACTCTGAGGCAAACTCATTTTCATTATACCAGGAAGGACAACTAATTAGATCAATCACAACACCTTAGCCCATTTGATACAATCAGCAACACAATAGCATCAAGCACAGCTTAGAAAATGACAATTTGTTGTAGTTATTAATCTATCACCTTTAATTGTGTGAATTAAATCAAAATCAAGGACCAGCCCAAAATATGTATATCATGAATAAACTCTTGAGTATAGCAACTTTACCCTTCAGCTTGGGGACTTAGAAGGAGTTGGGGAGGGAGGGATAGATGGGATAGAGAAAGGATAGAAGTGAGGTCAGAGGACACAGGAAGATCACACAAACTCTAGGGAGCTCTTGAAGAGGAGAAGACAGAACAAAGTATGCAAAAGAATAGAACAAACTAACAGCATTAGGGATGCTGGACTGTAATCACTTACTTTGAAAACTAATGGCAATAGAGAGAAGGAAAAAGAGAAGAAAAATAAAGAAAAAAATTCATATTAGGATGGGGACAGGAACAAAAAGGGAGAGAAATAAAGATCAAGGTGGGAGAGTGTGTGTGTGTGTGTGTGTGTGTGTGTGTGTGTGTGTGTGTGTGTGTGTG